AATATAATTAGGTATAAGGTCTTAGAAGGAATATGAAAAAAAATTGGATAAATATTTTCTAATATTTTATGGAGTTATTAATAAGATAGAAGAATAGATTAAGCTACTAAATTAATTGATTAGAATGCAATATTAGTAGCATTAGAGCATAATGAAATAAAACTAGTTGGAGTTACAAATAAATTTAAGGTAAAATATGCTTGAACTATTGGCTTAATGCTATTCAGTATCTCTAGAAACAATTTTTATCCTTGGATTATAAACTAATTTATAGCTGAAGTATTATAACTTAGATAGTAAAAGGTTTGTTTAAAGTTAACTAAAGGTGGTAATTATCCAAACAATAACTGTTTCATTAAAAATACGAAAAAAATAGTGGAAGAATAGAAATATATGATATTCAATATATTAATGATCTCATAATTATGATAGTTAGCTCTATATATAAGTCTTTTCATTTGACCCTTTTTCTAATGCAGCCTAATAGAATTGCTTAGCCTCTGATTTCTTCCCAAATTAAAATAATGAATCAGCTAAATATTAATAAAACATCGATATACCTTTATTTCTTAATCGAGAAGAAGTAATTTACAAATAAAGAGCTTGATCGTAACATAATATTGCATAATTATATTACTATAAGTTGTGTAGAGCAAATCCTGAATTATAAAGTAATTTACCTTTGTTATTCCATGCATTATCATTGTTTGGATTAATAGCAATAGCTTTGTCGAAACATTCAATTGCTTCTTACTATTTATTCATATTTTATAATGCCAATCCTAAATTATGATTTTTAATGATTAACTACCCTTGTTATACCATGTATTATCACTTTTTGGATTAATAGCAATAGCTTTGTCGAAACATTCAATTGCTTCTTACTATTTATTCATATTTTATAATGCCAATCCTAAATTATGATTTTTAATGATTAACTACCCTTGTTATTCCATGCATTATCAAATTTTGGATTAATAGCAATAGCTTTGTCGTAACATTCAATTGCTTCTTAATATTTATTCAATTTATCTAATGTAAATCCTAAATTATGATTTTTAAAGATTAACTACCCTTGTTATTCCATGCTTTATCATAATTTGGATTAATAGCAATAGCTTTGTCGAAACATTCAATTGCTTCTTAACATTTATTCAATTTATCTAATATAAATCCTAAATTATGATTTTTAATGATTAACTACCCTTGTTATTCCATGCACTGTCAAATTTTGGATTAATAGCAATAGCTTTGTCGAAACATTCAATTGCTTCTTAATATTTATTCATATTATATAATGCAGATCCTAAATTATAATTTTTAAAGATTAACTACCCTTGTTATTCCATGCTTTATCATAATTTGGATTAATAGCAATAGCTTTGTCGAAACATTCAATTGCTTCTTAATATTTATTCATATTATATAATGCAGATCCTAAATTATAATTTTTAAAGATTAACTACCCTTGTTATTCCATGCTTTATCATAATTTGGATTAATAGCAATAGCTTTGTCGAAACATTCAATTGCTTCTTAATATTTATTCATATTATATAATGCAGATCCTAAATTATAATTTTTAAAGATTAACTACCCTTGTTATTCCATGCTTTATCATAATTTGGATTAATAGCAATAGCTTTGTCGAAACATTCAATTGCTTCTTAATATTTATTCATATTATATAATGCAGATCCTAAATTATAATTTTTAAAGATTAACTACCCTTGTTATTCCATGCTTTATCATAATTTGGATTAATAGCAATAGCTTTGTCGAAACATTCAATTGCTTCTTAATATTTATTCATATTATATAATGCAGATCCTAAATTATAATTTTTAAAGATTAACTACCCTTGTTATTCCATGCTTTATCATAATTTGGATTAATAGCAATAGCTTTGTCGAAACATTCAATTGCTTCTTAATATTTATTCATATTATATAATGCAGATCCTAAATTATAATTTTTAAAGATTAACTACCCTTGTTATTCCATGCTTTATCATAATTTGGATTAATAGCAATAGCTTTGTCGAAACATTCAATTGCTTCTTAATATTTATTCATATTATATAATGCAGATCCTAAATTATAATTTTTAAAGATTAACTACCCTTGTTATTCCATGCTTTATCATAATTTGGATTAATAGCAATAGCTTTGTCGAAACATTCAATTGCTTCTTAATATTTATTCATATTATATAATGCAGATCCTAAATTATAATTTTTAATGATTAACTACCCTTGTTATTCCATGCACTGTCAAATTTTGGATTAATAGCAATAGCTTTGTCGAAACATTCAATTGCTTCTTAATATTTATTCATATTATATAATGCAGATCCTAAATTATGATTTTTAATGATTAACTACCCTTGTTATTCCATGCACCATCATTTTTTGGATTAATAGCAATAGCTTTGTCGTAACATTCAATTGCTTCTTAACATTTATTCAATTTATCTAATATAAATCCTAAATTATGATTTTTAATGATTAACTACCCTTGTTATTCCATGCACTGTCAAATTTTGGATTAATAGCAATAGCTTTGTCGAAACATTCAATTGCTTCTTAATATTTATTCATATTATATAATGCAGATCCTAAATTATAATTTTTAAAGATTAACTACCCTTGTTATTCCATGCTTTATCATAATTTGGATTAATAGCAATAGCTTTGTCGAAACATTCAATTGCTTCTTAATATTTATTCATATTATATAATGCAGATCCTAAATTATAATTTTTAAAGATTAACTACCCTTGTTATTCCATGCTTTATCATAATTTGGATTAATAGCAATAGCTTTGTCGAAACATTCAATTGCTTCTTAATATTTATTCATATTATATAATGCAGATCCTAAATTATAATTTTTAAAGATTAACTACCCTTGTTATTCCATGCTTTATCATAATTTGGATTAATAGCAATAGCTTTGTCGAAACATTCAATTGCTTCTTAATATTTATTCATATTATATAATGCAGATCCTAAATTATAATTTTTAAAGATTAACTACCCTTGTTATTCCATGCTTTATCATATTTTGGATTAATAGCAATAGCTTTGTCGTAACATTCAATTGCTTCTTAACATTTATTCAATTTATCTAATGCCAATCCTATTTCCAATTACTAACATATACCTTTATCATAAAATCCTTCAGATTCTATTATGTTCTATTTCTTTTAATATATATTATCATCCTGTATTTCTTGAATTTTGATCCTATTTTTCTATTCCTCACCAGAACATATTTAATTGCTTCTTTTTGTTAAATCTTTTACCCTATTCTAAACTGTTCCAAGAATATCATTCAATTATATTATTTGTTTTTCTATTGAAAATACTCTATTGGATACATATTTAATTTTCTTTTTCCTTTTAGAATAACTTTTTGATTATGTTGATTTATGACTTAAATACCAAATATTCTTTGTTTTAAAGTTGCAGTATCATCTTTTCTAATTATTTAACATCCTATTCCATTATCTTTAAAATCTATTCTAAACAATGTTAAACCAATTTTGAGATTTCTTTTAATTATTTAGTTGATCGAGTGTAAACTTGTATGAATTCATCAATATATTAGTTTATTTTAGGGAATCGAACACAATCATTTTAATGATCCGAATGAATCGTTGTTAAGCACTCATAACAATATTATGATGCATTTTAACAATTCTAATTCAAGCAAAATCCAATTATTTCTTCATTTTCATGAGTAATGTATTTACATTTAAAGATATCCATTTCTCTAAAATAATTAAAATAACAATAATAATCTATTAAATATCTTAAACTTATATATCATATATTTCTAATAGAAATCCCAATCATTCTATGATTTCATTAATAGACAACCAGGCCTATTAATTTATTAAAAAGTATTACATAGGTTTACTATTATAAACGAAATTATTCATATATTGCTATTTCATTCTATAATCAATTTATTATTCATTTAATTAATTACTTTATCCCTCCCTTTATAACATGAATAATGTTTTTTATCTTGCTACAATCTAACAATGACTAAATTATACTTAGCATGTACTTACTATTAATTTTATCTTGAAAGTTACTAATATAACTAAATGCAGATATTGTTAACCTTTTTTGTATATATACATTAGTTTGGGACAAAAATCATCAGATTTATAAAATATTCTTTTTGCACGAATAAATGGTTCTTATTATTTTCATTCTTATTTTCTTAAAATAGCATAATTTCTTCCATAAGCTTTTATTCTTAACTTTAATGATACTTTGAAATGATCTAAGCAAAGAAGATTTCAGTCATTTTTTACTAGCTAGAATAGAATACAATTTTACTTCTGATGATAATATCCCAGAAAATTGAGACAACTCAAGACTTAATAGAAATCAGATTTCGAATGATTTAAACTAGATTATAACTATTCTTTGAAGGAAGGAAGATATTAATTAAGAATTATTAACATAAATGAATTAACATTATATGGTACTCACACATCAAATTGTAGAGTGATAACCGCCACTTCAGATAATATTTTAGATTCTAAAACTAANTCAAATTTTGGATTAATAGCAATAGCTTTGTCGTAACATTCAATTGCTTCTTAACATTTATTCAATTTATCTAATGCCAATCCTATTTCCAATTACTAACATATACCTTTATCATAAAATCCTTCAGATTCTATTATGTTCTATTTCTTTTAATATATATTATCATCCTGTATTTCTTGAATTTTGATCCTATTTTTCTATTCCTCACCAGAACATATTTAATTGCTTCTTTTTGTTAAATCTTTTACCCTATTCTAAACTGTTCCAAGAATATCATTCAATTATATTATTTGTTTTTCTATTGAAAATACTCTATTGGATACATATTTAATTTTCTTTTTCCTTTTAGAATAACTTTTTGATTATGTTGATTTATGACTTAAATACCAAATATTCTTTGTTTTAAAGTTGCAGTATCATCTTTTCTAATTATTTAACATCCTATTCCATTATCTTTAAAATCTATTCTAAACAATGTTAAACCAATTTTGAGATTTCTTTTAATTATTTAGTTGATCGAGTGTAAACTTGTATGAATTCATCAATATATTAGTTTATTTTAGGGAATCGAACACAATCATTTTAATGATCCGAATGAATCGTTGTTAAGCACTCATAACAATATTATGATGCATTTTAACAATTCTAATTCAAGCAAAATCCAATTATTTCTTCATTTTCATGAGTAATGTATTTACATTTAAAGATATCCATTTCTCTAAAATAATTAAAATAACAATAATAATCTATTAAATATCTTAAACTTATATATCATATATTTCTAATAGAAATCCCAATCATTCTATGATTTCATTAATAGACAACCAGGCCTATTAATTTATTAAAAAGTATTACATAGGTTTACTATTATAAACGAAATTATTCATATATTGCTATTTCATTCTATAATCAATTTATTATTCATTTAATTAATTACTTTATCTTTCCCTTTATAACATGAATAATGTTTTTTATCTTGCTACAATCTAACAATGACTAAATTATACTTAGCATGTACTTACTATTAATTTTATCTTGAAAGTTACTAATATAACTAAATGCAGATATTGTTAACCTTTTTTGTATATATACATTAGTTTGGGACAAAAATCATCAGATTTATAAAATATTCTTTTTGCACGAATAAATGGTTCTTATTATTTTCATTCTTATTTTCTTAAAATAGCATAATTTCTTCCATAAGCTTTTATTCTTAACTTTAATGATACTTTGAAATGATCTAAGCAAAGAAGATTTCAGTCATTTTTTACTAGCTAGAATAGAATACAATTTTACTTCTGATGATAATATCCCAGAAAATTGAGACAACTCAAGACTTAATAGAAATCAGATTTCGAATGATTTAAACTAGATTATAACTATTCTTTGAAGGAAGGAAGATATTAATTAAGAATTATTAACATAAATGAATTAACATTATATGGTACTCACACATCAAATTGTAGAGTGATAACCGCCACTTCAGATAATATTTTAGATTCTAAAACTAACTACAGAATAGAATGTAATAAAATTATTCTCCAAGAAATCTCTTGCAATAATTCATGTTGTAAAATATAGCAACAATGAAATCGATCTTACTTTAATGAGTTATATCGGCCCTTAAAGAAGAAGCGTTCAGGTATGATTTTGCTTATTTTAATCTGAAATTAACAAATCAAGAAGGATTAATATATGATTGCCATGACTTAGAATGATGCAAGCTGCGAAATATTGGTTATTGTATACAACAATCATCTTATTTAATTTATTGGCATATTGCTAAATTTCATTAATTTCAATAATTTTTGGAAAAGAAATACAAATATTCGTTATCTTATGAATTTATAAAAAGAGGACTTAATGATTCAGCTTTGAATTTTAAAGGGTATGTTTACCGATCTATTTGAGAATACACTCGAAAATAATAGTTATTTTCCAAAATATGTCCCTATTGAAAGCATTATCAATACAACATCTATCTCTAAATCACCTCGCTATATCAAACTTATAATTGTTACCACCGCATTTTTTCTATCCATTATTAAAAAATTGGTTAAATTATAAAGCCTGTTCTTTCTATCTAATGTTAGGTAATTTATTTAGATATTTCCTTCCATTTCAAAAAGCCTATTGAATCACTGATTTACTTGTTTATACATTAAAATTTCAATTTATTCTGCTATCAAAGGTAGGAAGTCAATTTGAATGATAACTTAATTTACTATTAAGGTGATATATAATCAATAAATTTCACTACAATGTATCTGAGGGATTAGCTAATTATCTCAGAAAATTGATGAAGTTAGTTTAATTCAATCCATATTTTTTGGAATACACTTACTTAATATCTCAAGACTTTTCTCATTCCTACTGACCAATTTGATTTAACAAGTATTGTAACAGTTCTGATACCCGTATATAAAGCAATATTCATTTATTATGACCATCTTTTTATTAGCGTCCTATCTTACAATTTTGAGTAAACATTTCTTTTAATAATTTTTTTCTTTTTCATGAAGCTCTAGCTTATTCTTTGTTCTTTTTTGAGAATCGCCTGTAATCATTGATTCATTAGTCAGTGTTGGAAGCAAATCGAAAATGTGCGATAATTACTTTCCTGAAAATGGCTTTTAGAGTTAGATCTTAAAAGTAATAATAAAATCATCTTTAAAGAGTAGAAATGACAAGTGATATACTTAAATTATGTAATTATAAATAAGAAATGAGAAACGAGTAATTAATAAGCATTGCTATTTAATTCCTCTTACCAACCAGATATTTACTTTTTAATAATCATCTAATTTCCATACTGTATGTTCAGGAAAAAGTACTTAAAAATGATCTATTAATATCAAAATTACCTCTATCTTAAAATAATTGATGTTTCTAAAGCTGTTATTACATTTTATTATGAAACATCTCAATCGTAATATTATGCCTCTGTTATTAAACTTCTTCTCTATTTGTTCTTTAGATTGAAGAAGATATGCTTTTTAAATTTTATTAAAGAAAATCTGTTCTCTATGTGGTTATGATGCTGCCTAAATTTCAGAGATAAAAATATAATTAAAAAAATGTGTTTTCCCTTCTCACAGAGGAGACAAACCAATAGTGAAAAAAATGATACAATTTTTCTTTAATTGCATTCTGATTGAAATCAAAATTTGGACAAATATATAATTTTTTTAATGGTACAAAAACTTTCCACCCAAATCTCTTAAAAATGTATAAATATAATTCAAAAATAGTTTTGTTAATGTAAAAACTAACATAATTAGAAAAATTCATCTAGATAAAATGAGAATGCGATTATTTTAACTTCTTACAAAATTAATAATTTTAAGTTAGGCAGCAGTTATTATTTTATAAAGATATGAAAAAATTATCCTCCTAAAAAAACAAACGATTTATAACCTATTAAAGATAATTTAAATATTCAAATGGTAAAAAGTTATTGTACAATATTTAAAATATCCTTTCATTAATAATTCAGTTACATAAGAATGTTGGATTGAAATTCTTGAAGTTTCAAAATTTAAATTCAAACAATTAATTATATTGTTGATCCTTTCATCATCTTCACCTTCAAGAATTTTTACAATTAGCAATTACATTTTCAATAAATTCTTTGGCCTCTCCTTTTAAGATTCCAAATGTACTACTTTGTAATAGATATATAGATTTTTACGACACCCTTGTGAAATGGAAAAAAATTAAATGGAAGAAAGGTTCATTAATATGTAAATTCAAAATATGGGCAAAAACAATTGAGTTTAATAAACTACCCAATTTCTATACTTATAATTTAAGAAATTTGTTGTATAGATAATTTTTTATAGATGCAAGGAATATAGATACTTATACAGATTTAATTAGTAAAATCATTATTTATTTTAATCAAACTCTAGTTCAAAGAACAGATTTTCTAGTTACATAAATCAATTTTGATTAAAACATAGAAAGCGTTAGATGTCTATTAAACTCAATTCAAAAAAATCAACTATTATAAAATTTTATTCGCCAAAGCATTATTTAATAAATGTAATTATCCAATTTCGGTTTTTCAACAACACATTAACCTTATCTCTAGCTAATCAGTTAAACCTTTTATCATATGATAAAGAACTTTAAATTGCAGAATTGTTCAAAATAAAAAATTACTTAAGCGAAAAGATACAGATATGATATGATAAATGAAAAACATCTAAATAGCTCCAAAAAATTTTGCTTTTGCTATTACTAATCTTACTAATTGATTCTTTTATTTAAAATGCTTATCTTGAGCTCTAAAGCCATTCGAAAAATAGACATAAGAAGTTCAAATGAAATTTTGCTCTATGTTTGGAAATAGAAAAAGTAAAGAAGCTAGCAGTATCGTTATATCCTTATCTCATATCTGACTCGATAGATTTTGTAGTGAAATAGAATTCGTATTTTACACATACTCAAAAATGTTAAATTGTTGAAACTATGAATGATTTGATTATGAAAATTTGCAGTAAATTTTAAATAAATTTGAGTATTTTGGATATTAGATTTATAAATCAAACTTTAAATAGTCTCTTTTGATTTTAGAATAGGAGAAATAATGGATATATAGAATAATGAGTTAAATCATAAGAGTATATTCATAGCTTAACGTTCCTGATTAGATAAATTAATTGTAGGTT